CAGTTTGGACCTATACTACAACACTATACTATACAACACTATACTACACAGCGAAATCCAGTAATGAAAAAAATTTCATTCGCCACTGAAGTAATAACATCGCTGCGAGATCTAGTGAGAAACATTCACATTTCTCCGTTATTTACGGATCAAACAGCGCTGACGTGGAAACCAGGAAGAAACATTGTGCCATGAATGAACTATTCAGTGTACACAGATCAGCAACATTCACCATGGATTTACTGTAGTAACACTACTAACTGTAACCATGCAAGTTTGGCAGGAATAGTAGGCTATAATGCTTTCAAGTAACATTACGTCGGTTTTATTTCGACATTATGAATACAATTGCTGCCCTCAAATGTTTATCTGAACTAAAATAACTACTATTTATAACTACTGTTTATAACTACTACAATATTACATTTAATTTTGTTCTGAGCTGTTTTTGTTTTATATGCTCCTAAGAAAAGTCAAGTATAGCTCCATCATTGCTCAAAGTAAAAAAATATCATACTTTATGATGTTAGTTTTAATAAAAATATGATTAAAAATATTAAAACAAAGAAATTTCTCTGGCATTTCTTTCTTTTTGCTGTATCGAAAACGTACCGAACCGTGACACAAGTGTATCGTATCGAACCGAACTGTGAATTTTGTGAACTGTTACACCCCTACTATACATAGTTTTTCATAGTTCTATACAGTTTTTTAACTATTTTCAAAAAGAATCGCTCTTTTTTCAAAAATGAATCGCTACTTTTTCAAAAAATGAATTGCTACTTTTTCGAAAAGAATCAATACTTTTTCATAGTTCTACAAAGTTTTTAAACTATGTATAGTTACATTGTAATAAACGTATAATAACACTAATGTATAGTTACATTGTAATAAACGTATAATTAATTGTAATAAATGTGTAATAACACGGTAATAAGTGTATAATTACATTGTAATAAACGTATAATTACATTGTATTAAACATATAATTACATTGTATTAAATGTATAATTACATTGTAATAAACGTATAATTACATTGTAATAAATGTACAATAACACTGTAATAAATGTATAATTATATTGTAATAAACGTATAATTACATGGTATTAAATGTATATTACATTGTAATAAACGTATAATTACATTGTATTAACCCTCTGGGGACCAAAAACGCACCCGTGCGTTTTGGCAGATTTTTTTCACATAGCAGAAAAATAGACTTAAACTACTCCATCATTTCTGGTCATACAGAGTTAAGACATATTAAAAAATAAACTGTTAAATGTCGACTTTTTTATGTGCCCACCTACAATCGAAATAAAATATTGTGCTTTTGTAAAATAAACAAATAAACTGCTTCTCCGTGTCCATGAACTTATTTTCTGGAGCACGTCTCTAAACTTAAAAAAAACTCAGCTATATTCACCCAGACATGAGCAATATATGTTTATGATCATTTAAGTTTGTACTTTTAAATTATCTAATTTAAAACTAAAATAAATATTCTCCGTTTATGTAATCTATATAAAAAGAGAGAGGTGTCTGCCTTTCTCATTATCGTTCTCGCATCTCATTATTTTGCTAATGTGACACGCCCACGGAGAGGGCGCGCTATTCAAACGCTAATGATCTGAAACAACACATTGAGACGTGTAAACGCCCACATATCAACTCGGTAAACACACTATATTTAGTCAGATCAATGTACTGTCGTCTTGCGCGGCTGTGAGGAATAATCCTGGGACATTTACCTACCTCAGAACTAGTGCTGGTTTATTTTCACTTCGAGGAGCGAGCTGAACTGTAAGTGTTTTATTCTTGTGCTTTGTTCTAATCGCGATATATAATAACGTTAGTGTCTGTAAACGCAAAAATAGCCTATACGGTTTAAATTTGAATCATGTTTCTGTGTGTGTGTGTGTGTGTGTGTGTGACTAGTTTTGAATAGATTATAAAGTTTTAACTCTAAAATAGACATCAAATAAGCTTTTGTTAGCAGTTTCTGCTCATATGTTAAATATGTAGTATGTTTTGTGAATAAACTAATCAACTAAGATGTTATAGGCTAGTGTTTGTTCCAATGCAATCTATATCAAAATATTGAATCCTTAACTTTGAAATATGTATGATAAAATGTATATGTCCCACTAAGACAGTTATGGAAAAAGACAATTTTCTTTTCAAGATGTTTCCAACTCTAACTTTGAACCAATTCTGTAGAATGGACCATATAACCTATTTGAACAGGATTTGTTTCCAGGTATGACTAAAAATGTGCTTTTGACTTTCATTTATATTTTGATTATATATATATATATATATATATATATATATATATATATATATATATATATATATATATATATATATATATATGTATGTATGTATGTATGTGTGTGTGTGTGTGTGTGTGTGTGTGTGTATATTGTCCTTGCATTCTTTCTTGTGTGACACACCTGAATGAAAGACTCATTAATATGTGGATCGTCTTTGTCTTCTCAACCACCTAATTATTCACAATGGGGTTGGGCCGTTCACGCCCCAAAATAATCTATTGTGTTATGTGAATAATTAGACAGGATGATTTTCACATCATTTTGAAGCCAGAACTCGAAGCGACAACATCCATTAGTCAAAAGTCTTGTGGACACATATTTAGTATGTGTTTTGTGGTCTTATTTCAGCAACATTCATTTTTATTTTTTTTCAATAACCACGCATAAACATTCTCTTAAAAATACAAACATGTACATACATGTTGCTCACATATTATGGTAGCCCCGTTTGTGCTATATAGAGTAAATTTACACCTTTGCCATTAACATGTTTACAAATAACTGAAAAAAGCACAAATGTCAGTGCATGTCAAAACATCCCAAGGGCCCCAAAAACACCTTGGTCCCCAGAGGGTTAAATGTATGATTACATTGTAATAAACGTATAATTACATTTTAATAAATGTATAATAACACTGTAATAAATGTATAATTACATTGTAATAAACGTATAATTACATTGTATTAAATGTGTAATTTCATTGTAATAAACGTATAAGACTGTAACAAATGTATAATTACATTATTTTACGCTACTTTTTTCAAAAAGAATCGCTACTTTTTTCAAAAAGAATCGCTACTTTTTTCCAAAAAGAATCGCTATTTTCAAAAAGGATTGCTACTTTTTCAAAAAGGATCGCTACTTTTCTTTTTGAAAAAGTAGCGATCCTTTTTCAAAAAGTAGCAATCCTTCAAAGTGTGCTTCTTTTACCGATATATTTACCGATATCTTTTGCATTTCTAATCCAAACAATGTCAAACTCAGCACTGCACTTACTCGTGCCCGTAGCAAGACACCTGTCAAGTTTGAAATCCATCGGACTAACGGTTCTAGAGATATTCGATTAACAGACAGACAGACAGACAGACGTTCCTGTAATTTATAGATAGATGTCTTCATGCTGGTTCAGTTATGTTAAATAATCATTTTAACAAAACTTAAATACACAATTTTAAAAATGTTTCAAAAAGAAAATAGCTAACTTCAAAGGTGACCCTTAACATTATTCTAAAAAACATGTAAATTAAATAAAATCATAAGACTCCATGGGCATTTTTATGATGAATTTATATTTTTTCTAGTTCTAGATCTAAAAATGTTTATAGGGTAGAAATCCAGGGTCCTTAATCCAAATCAATAAATCAATATATTATAATTAAATATTTGGTATGTAGTATAATAAATAATCATAATAATAACAACAACAACAACAATGCATGTATATTCAGCAAATGGGTCACCTGAATCTAAAACTCCTGAAGAAACCTACCCCCAAGCACATCACCACCACCAGCAGAGGGAGATGTTGCTACTATGATCCCGAAAAATTGCTGAGAATTTACCTTGAGTGGAATTCATTCTGAATCTGTACAAGAACATATTATTTGAGCAGAAACACCCTCACACATGCCACACATTCTTCTCATGCTTCTCATTCGTCACACCATTTCATTAATCTTCAAAATGAAGAACTATGAGAAGAATCTCAGGGCCGTATTTAATACCCAAATTGCTTTTGCTCAGTGGTGCTCATTAGTCAGTATATGAGTCACTAGATAAAGAGAAAGATGCAAACAGCAAAAACACTGATTTATTAGTCATTTCAAAAAATTGTAAATAAAGCAAAGCCTGCACTGGCCAGAAAATTTGCCTCTGAGTTCAACATGCAATACCCAAAAGCACACTCAGGGTTTGGAATTAATCCAAACTGCCTGTGAGGCCCAAAGCAAGACAACAGCCATGTATGACTTTACCAGCGTCTGCTGTGGGTCAGCAGCTGGGGTTTGGTTGGTATGGAGACACAACTGACTATCAAGAATCTGCATCAACTGAACGGATAAAGAGCAGAGCACGACCCGGCCATATAGGGATGGTTTAGGTTTAGGATTAGAAAGTGTTGCCAGATATGTAAGCATAGGAAATGCGAATAACAAACACGCACACACAAATACCCTGACAGACTATAAACACAAAATGGCTGGCGCGCACTCACACACATATAATCTCCAAAAGTCTACAGCACTATTTTTAACTGGATAAAAGAATGAAAATGTAAAAAGCCCCCTGAGGGAAACTGATAGTGCTTGCTGATCCAAGGATAAGTACATTTAAAAAGAAACAAGCACAAACAAATGCTGTTTGATGTTTTTTTTTTTTGCATTTAAGTAATTAGCAGTTTCCCTTTTGAAATGGCTTCAATTATTATTATTATTTTATTTATTTAATAGCAAAAAAGTACACAACACAAAATGCCTTGGAAAGAAGGATATAGGCGAGAGAGAAACTGAACGATTGAAATGAGACAAAGGAGTGAAGAGAAGGGATGGGGTGAGGGGTGTCCATTTGTCTTCAGACGAGGAGGGAGGTGCCAGATTCTGGAAGGTTTGGATACCCTATTGATGCCCCCAAAAAGCATCCACCATGCAGCCCCCCTTTCCCCCACTTTTTTTCCTTTATCCTTCGATTCCATCCTTTATTTCTACCCCCTCCATTCTTATCCTTCCACAAGCTTCTCTCACTCACAGTCTTTAGAAGAAGTCAGCTCGGTAAGTAAAAAGCTCAATATGAAACTTTACAGCTCTGTTTTCTAGAATACAAGTGCTTGAGTGGCGTATAAGGAGGGGTAACACATCATATCTGTGCTAGTTTTGTTTATTAGGATAACGAGGATGGGATGTGATTTGGTTTATCAGGTTGTTGTTATATTAAATTGATGCATACAGACTCATGCAGATCTATTCCAATTTAATGAATACAATTATAACTATATAAATAACAAATTATAAAAAATAAAAGGTAATTGGTTTAAATTTGAAATTTGAAAAGGGTTTATTATTTTAAAATTACATAAATTATTATTAAATTCAATTCTTAAAATCATATGAAATGATATATATTTAAAATATTTTAAGACTCAATTATTTAGTCTGCATCATGTCAGTGGAATTTTAGTATAATTGAGAAGCTATTATAGTTAAGACTTTGAATTCGTTTTTATTTTTATATTTTCTTATATTTTAATCAAAGTTTTAGCTATATTATTGTGTGTTTTGTCTTATTGTCTTTATAGAGTATTCTAATTTTTAGTTATTTTAGTACAGTTAACCCAAATGAAAAGGAGAAATGCTGCATTGGCAGCTATTTGAAATAAAATAAGTAAATATAATAGAAAATATAACAAATATAAAATAAAGTAAATAAAATATAAAATAATAGAAAATATTTTATTTCAGTTAACGTTTATTTGAATCAAAATAACAAACATGTTTTTTTATGGGTTTTAGTTAACTATAACCCTTCATCATGCATTAATGTTTTTCCTCTCTAATTTTGCAGGTGCTGATTTCTCTTTTCTGAGGGTGCTGTGTGTGTGCCCTAAACCAGAGATTTCTTCCTTTCTATAACCTTAAACACACAGCCATGCGAGGGCGGAGTCTATTCTTCATCTTTTCCCTACTCTTCCTCCTCCTATCATTCTCTGAGGCAAAAAAGAAGTCCAAACAACCATCAGATGCAGTGACTGGATCCGAAAGTACTGCCATAAATCCCTCGCTGGGGTCCGGTCAACTAAGCACTAAGGATGGGCACCGCTGCACCTGGGAGACGTTAGAGAGAGGAGCTAACATTCTTCTCCAGGTGAGCTGTTCTGCCCCTGAGGAGGAGGTGCTCAAACCTCCCTACACATGCCAGTTTGCTGGAAAACCTCAGGAATGCTCCGTGTACAGCACCCAGTCCTCCCAGTACTGGAAACAAGTGGTGAGCAAACTGAAGAAGCGAAAGAATGCTTGCGAGGGGGAGAAAGTCCTGAAAACACGCCTGTGTAAGAGAGCACCCAGCGCATCTCACATGAAACTCACAGAGAGAAGCGGAGAAGAGACGACCACACACATTAGCGAGGGAACGCAAGAAGAGAGCAAGCGCAAAACAGAGGCGCCCGTGAGGAAAGAAAAAGAAGTACAGAAAGAGAAGGAAGAGGAGGTGAAGAAAGAAGAGGATGAGGGGTTCGGAGAAGTACTGAATGATGGAGTCTCAGACATGGGGCCTGCTGTGAGCTACTGCGGAGAGGGATGGCATTCTGTCTGCAGCTTTTTTGTCAAGTTTTTTGATGGTTAAAAAATCTGCTATCAATGCTTTTTCGGACCCAGTGGAGGATAAGAATGTTGATGAATGAAAAAAAGACGGAAAGACAACGCTGTCGGGTGTCAAAAAACGACTTAGAAGAAGCTTACCAGCTAGTCTGCACCCTAAAAACATCATGGATAAAAACAGTCCTGTTGTGAAGAGGAAGACATAGACACAGAAAAAAGTAGTTTATGAGTAATATTTAACAAACACACTAATCACATTGCTTAAACAAAATGTATTGTGTATATTGCAACTAAACCTGATTTCCCTTTTTGTAGATAACGACTAATTGTGATTTGAATTCCACACATGACCTTTGAATTTTTATTCATTGTGAAAATTGTTGTATATGATTTTTGCAAATACTCAAATCAATCAAAAACAAATTTAATTAATTACGTATGCATATATTTTTTAACTAAAAATTTTGCCTAGATATATGGCAGAAAGTCTTTTTATCATTCATGCTCAACACAGCTAGATGATAAGATTAAAAGTCCTTCAGAGCTCACACAAGATGAATAAAAGAACCTTACATAACTATTTATATTGTGTATTTATGTGTATATAGATGTGTATAGGTGTTTGCCAGTAGATATGTGGTATTCAGACAGCATAGCTTTCTCCGTTGTGCATCAATAGTCAGCTTGCCATATCAGGGGTCTAAAATGACAGTCACAGATAATATAACAGCACATAGTTCAAATCGATAAAATGTGCCATTTAAGTGGCATTCACTTTCCCCCTGATGACCCAAAACTATAACAAGGGGAAAATATTGTGCAATAAATTGCTCTTTTGTTCATGGGTTTTCTATAGTCTTACAACCGGAGCTACAGCTTAGATACAGATACTTCTGTTGAAGGCTTAACTCACACGTCTAACAGTGAAAGATTACAATATTATGCTCATTGTCACAAATGGATTTTTGCCAATAGACTCAGTGTCAGGGTTAAATACAGCAGATTCATCTTTTCACCTCATGCTGTTAGAAACTATATTATTATATCTATATTATGATATATAAACTATATACACGTTGGACATCCTAACAACACTAATTGGATTATATATATATATATATATATATATATATATATATATATTAGTGCTGGGCAACGATTAAATTTTTTAATCGCGATTAATCGCATGATTTTCTTGCGATTAATCGCGATTAATCGCATTGTTACGCGCAAACTTTAATAATGAATTCTAAAGTAGTGTATTACTCACTTTTGATTTAAATGTACTGCTATATACACAAAAGTGTAATAACATGTGGTTTGCAAAAACTTTAAACAAATAAGGTGCTTTATACCAGCAGTATTCCCTTTACACAGCAATAAAATATTTATTGTAAATCTCAACCTAAACATTAATGTAATCAAATCAAATATTAAAACAAAGCTATTTGCCACTGCCAGGGCATTACCTTTTATCTAGCTTGTTAAAACGAGTCCAGTTTTCTTGGGTTTTTTCTTAACAGGTATCAACAGGTGTCTTTTAGCAGCAGAAACAGTCTATAGTCAGATGTCATGAGATAAGTCGACCAACGTTACTTCTCTGATAGTAGCTTAGGTTTGGTCATGCCATGGTTTCCCACGTACACTAAGATTGCATTAAACAGAGATAAAGCCCAATTTATACTTCTGCGTCGAACTTACGTCGTACCCTGACTTGCACCTCTCCAAAAATGTAACAACGCGTCAATTCTACGCGTACCGCAAGCGCTGTGATTGCTAGAACCGCTCCACGGGTTTCACATGCTCCCTCTGCATGTGTAATTGCGCGTCAACGCGGCCAACGACGCAGAAGTAAAATCAACCAACGTAGTGTATAGCGACACTACGAACAATACAATACACTACGAACGACACAGAAGTATAAATCAGCCTTTGAGTGAGGTGAATTGGTCGAGCACAAGGTGCAGCGACAAGCGGGTGCGTTCTGTGAAACTGTTGCGGTCATGCTCGCCTCACGCGCTCGCCTCACGCACGCGTCCGCCCGTTGCTGAAGTTGAATTGTCTAAAAGGACTTTGATTGTCTATAACTTTTTGTACACGACGCGCAGTACAAATCATTGGAAGAGAGACTGATCCTCGGCTCGCTGTTTGTGAGTTTCCAATATTTAAAAAGTTATCAGGACATCAACAGAAGAGAATTCACATTGCAGAGCATCCCCGCTAAACTAAACGCAGGCACATCAGGTAAAGTTATGTATAATTTTAATTTAAGTTAAAAAGACTACAGCTGCGTAGCGCACAGAAGCCGTTGCCGTGGTTACTATCCATAGAGCGCCTGTCATTCACTCGCGGAGCACTGTCTCCCTTTCTGTTCACCTGAGAGAACCTGCCAAAGCCCCTCCACTGCTGGTTTGGGTGGGTTATTTGCTGGCTGACCAACATCCCACCCCTCCTGTGATCATGGTTTGACTGTAGGCCTATGTCCTATTCAGAGCCAGTGTGCAACGGACTTTTAAAATTAAAAAAATAAAAAAACTGCGTTAACGTGCGATAAAAAATTGTCGGCATTAATTAATAAATGCGTTAACGCGATAATAACGCGTTAACTTGCCCAGTCCTGTAATATATATATATATATACAGTATATATATGATTTTAGGATGTCCAACGTGAATAGTCATATATTTGATATGATATTGATATTTTGTACTTTTGGGGGATCAGATATTACATGTCAATGCCAACATGAAAGACATGAGAGTTTTCAGCAATACTTTTTTCTCACTATACAAACTGCTATCTCACACAGAAAGAAAAAAGTAATATTTATTTAAAGGAACTAATCACCTTTTTACTCGGCCATGGAAAAGCGCTAAATATACAGATGATGTAGTTGGGTAGGTGTGTGCTTTCGTGGGGGTTAAATGAGAGGGAGATGGACGAGTATTGGTAAACAACCATATCAATTTGTCTGATATCATGTGTGAATACCGTTAAATTCCACAATAATAATCAGCTCTGCCTTCTCAACAAACATGAGAGTGAGGCCTAAGGCAAGAGCTTTAATCTTGTGTATAATCCCAAAGAGCTTTGATTTAGAATTAAACCCTGTATTAGGCTGTGTTTGATTTGTTAATTTGCTGCACGCAGAGAATACACGTACTCCAGAGACAGGATAGGAGAGGAACACAGTGTTGGGGTAGCCAATAACAAAAAATGGACGATCATGGCACTAGGCCTGGCGGCGTGAAGGAGAATGCACTTAACTATATTTGACAGTTTAGCGTGCTGCACAGTATTTAATCTGTTTCCATATATGCTAGTGGAGATTTTCCAGTAACAAAATACATTTTCAAAGCATAGCGGAGTTGTGTGACCAAACAGCGCTTAATGTCCAAGCAGAAGGGGAAAACCAAACGCACTCCCTCTTGTATAGTGTCGAAAAGTCTTATTTTCATCCTACATGGATCTTTATCACATGTAGCGTTAGAAAATCTGAATCATAAATGGTCCCCATCTTTTGAAAAATCTGATTAATTTTAGTGGTTCGTTTCTTCCTTAATGATCTCCTCTATGTAGCTTTGGAAAGTTCGATTAATTCTGTGAATCGGTTCATTCGGGCAGTTAATATACATGAACAGATTAAATATACACTGATTTCGAGTTCAGGCTATACTATGTACAATTAATATGGAAATTACACATTTTGTTCTATTTTATCTGTTCAAGGAGATGGGAGGAACATGAAACATGAAATGATGATGCCAACAGGGAACCAATACTGACTTTTTGTTCTTTGAGTTACTTTATATTAATAAACAAATTACATAAATATACTGTCAGCATACTTGTTCAGTTCACTCCGATTTAAATTTCAGAGGTGTGGAAATGACAATGTTTTTGAATATTACCAGAGTATTTTATAGACAGTGTGTTGTTCATTACAGACTGTGTTTGGAGACAGAATCTCAATGAGTTGCTTCAGCCCAGTCTATCAAACAAATACACACTCAAACACACACTCTCTTACACAGACACATCACTTACTAAACAGACTGGCTCTTAGTCAGTGCACATAAATCAAGTGTTTAAAACAGGCATTCAGCCAGATGCCCCTTTTAAGGCCCCCTTTCCCATCCTGATCTACAGGGAAACAACACTACCAGCCTCCCCAAAACCCAACTGGGACTCCTGAGAATCACACAAAGGGACTCAAGGCGCTTCCCACATCAGAACAGTTTTGTACAAAGTGGAGAAGTGACCCATTCAGACACCCTTGCAATGTTCTATTCTACAACCTGGCCTTACGCCACATTCACCCTCTTAAGCCTTACACCGATCCAATGGAAAACGGCAAAGAATGACACAAGACACATAATTAGTCCTGACATAGCAGAGGTTGGAAGCTGTGCCATGTGGAAATACGGGGCTCATGGGTAATTTGGTCAATAAGAAAATAACAAGACACCCCCAGTGACTGTTGACGAAGAGTTCATTTGTTCACCGTATCAGAATTTCTGCTGCCTCATGGAGTTCAGCTTTAAAACGCAGTGGGAAAAAACGTTACAAAGATTAAAACGCGCAAGTTTTTTGGATGCACTGCATCTTGTGTCAGTGAGCAAGCTTATTTGTAAAGATGATTTATGGAAACAGATTAAGCAGCCAACCCTATGACTTACAGTAAAATACTGAATATCTGTACACTACACACTAACAAATGCAACAAACATTTGTACAGTATATGGCTAGTCATTAAGTCTGATTCAATGCCTGTAAACTCTGATTAGAACAACAGTAGCCCCTGCTGGATGAGAGATATTAATGCAGACCTCTAAACCCGAGACCTCTAAAAGCTGTACTTTTCCTGCATGGTCGACCTGTGAGCTAGCTGTTGCAAGCAAGTAAACAAAAAGGAAAAGAAATGAAAGGAAAAAAATAGTTATTTATTTATTAAAATTCTATTTATCTGGGATAAGGCAAATCATTGTGCGAGTCTTCTCAATAGTATCAAATTAATTTGTGAAAAAGATAATTATCTTCTGTGGGTTTTGATGGGCCAGCATCCTCGGCTATTTTGTAGTCCCAGAGGTCATCCCGCTTCACAGCTGTTCTGTTTGAACAA